TCCAGGTGGCACCTGGAGATCTCCTGCTATTACATTTGATCTCCAGATGACAAGGATCTGTTCCCCTGGATAAAAGGGCTGGAGGGTGGATAGTACGGCATTCTACTCTACTGAGGTCCCTCCCCTCCCCAAAATCTCCAGGTGTTCCCCAACCCTTCCTCCACCCCTGAGACGAGGAAGGACAGGATCCGAAGGCGATGTAAACAGGGAGCGCAGCCATACGCCTCATGCGCCGTACACAGAGGTGTGTGTTGCAAGGTCACTTGAGGTCCCTTTGTGTGTGACACTTCCCCTCCAGAGAGAGATTTGCCACAAGGAAGACAAGAGACACCGTTTGTGTGATAGATTCAGGTCTGATGCAACAGAACAAAGTTTGAGTCTGGTCTGAAAGGGGCCACTGGACTCCAACCTTGTTCATTTTGTGCGATGTCAGTCTTTGCTGCAAGTAAATCAATCGGTCCAAGTGACATGAAGCAGTTCTCAAAAGGGATTAGATAAAACACACACACACCCCTCCCATACATGAAGGCTTGGGACACACCAATACTGGGGAGTCTCCCACAACACCTGAGGCCAGTGTTCCCTCTAAGCTGAGTCTGTGTGAGCTAGCCCATTGTTTCTTAGCCTCTGGCTCACACATTTTTGTCTTAGCTCGGGAAGGATGGCTCCAGTGCAGGCTAATTTAGGCAGCAGCCAAATTGCTGGCTCACAACTTTAATACCGGTAGCTTGCAAAGCAGAATTTTTGCTCACAAGACTCTACAGCTTAGAGGGAACATTGCCTGAGGCTTGTCAAGAATAGACAAAAGAAAGACGGTTTTTGGTGAAACAATCCAATTGACCGTGTACTAAGACTGTATAGTCCAGGAAGAAGGAGAATACGTGGGACGGTGCTTCCATGGGACAGAGATTTTCTTTGAGTAAAACACGGATGTTCTAACAGAACTCTTAAAAATGGCCAGAGTGGATACTATGGCATTATACACACTATGAATGTGCTTAAGCTTATGTACAGATGAAACATGACATTATAGCAATACATCAGATTGCGTTCTTATTGCTGAAAATTTTGTATAATGTATCACTGATGTTTCCCGTTTGTTCAGTTTTTAAAAATTAAAACATGAATAGTAAATATGAAAAGTTGTTGGATGACTGTCTGTTCCACTTAGGAATTTCTGTCTCTCTCTCTCTTTTTTTTTGCCAGGAGTGCTTTGCCTTTAACTAAGGATGATGGAGCAAAATTTGACGAGGGGGGCAGTTTTCGGGGATGGGGGTTGCACGGGTAACATCCAGGTGCTTCAGGCTCACAGGAAATCGCCCTTCTTTCCTAAGAAAAGATGGCAACCCGAGGGCTGCCTCCACAAGCTGAGGATTCTGCCTTTCCCTGGCGTCACACTGGCCACGGAGCATCCACATGGGAGTTCTGTCTACACCTTCCTTTGTCAGCGGCCGTTTCCCTTACCACACCACCAAAGGGCTTTTTTCAGGCTTTAAAAAACCCAGGAATAGTCGCTATTCTGCTAGCACAAGCGAATGCTATAGCCCTCCGTTACCACCATCTGCTAGTTTCTCTAAATTCCCAGTTCTCATTTTTTAAAAGCGGGGTTTTGTTTTTTTCCTGGGGGAGCACGCCAGAATGGAATTTCAGAACCTCTTCGACAAAACTCTTTTAAAAATGTTTAAAAGTTCATGAGTTTTCAGTATACAGATTGGAAACTTCATTTCTCCCTTGATCGTTCCGGCACCTCTTTCCCCCCCAAAAAACCCAACCCCTGTTTAAAAGTATGCCTCTAGCCCTTGTTATTTCATTTTGCTTTTGTTGTTGTTCAGTCGCACAGTCGAGTCCGACTCTTTGCGACCCCATGGGCCAGATCCTGCCAGGCCTTCCGGTCTTCCGCCGTCCTCTGAAGTTGGCTCAACTTCATGTTCGTTGCATCTGTGACACAGTCTAACCATCTCATCTTTTGCCGTCCCCGTCTTCTTTGACCTTCAATCTTTCCCAGCATCAGGGTCTTCTCCAGGGAGTGCTCCCTTCTCATTGGGTGGCCAAAGTATTTGAGCTTCAGCTTCAGTATCTGGCCTTCCAGGGAACAGTCAGGGTTCATTTCTTTTAAAAAATGAAAGCTGTGAATTAAGAACGAGCAGATCACGTCAATATATTGTTATTGCACTGCATTACTTGGGTTGCCGACCTCCAGGTGGGGCCTGGAGATCTCCCGCTTATTACAGTCAATCTCCATACGACAAAGATCAGATCCCCCTGGAGAAAACGGCTCCTTTGGAGGGGGGACTCGATGGCTTTGGACCCCGCTTAGGACTCCACCTTCCCCAGGCTCCACTCACAAAATCTCCAGGTATTTCCCCACTGCTTAGCTACAAGCCCTTACCAGTTGCAGGGAAAGCGTGGGGTAAATGGCAGCCATGGGACCGAAGGGAAGGGCAGCGCCAAAGTGAGTGGGGCCTTCTAAAGAACACTCCTTCCCATCCAGGGGGCTTGCTTCCATGCTTGGCCTGGATTCTTTCCAGGAATATCACACCAAAGCAGGTTTGAGAAAGAACACACAAACGACAGGGGAAGCCTGGAATGTGGACACTCCGAAAACACACAAAAATGCTGCATTTGGAAGCCAAGATGGAGAAACATCCCTGCGTGGATGCATCCTCCTTTCACCTCCCGTCTATTCAACCTCCTTCCTGTTTGCTTCTCCGATTGACTAATATCTCATCCGGCCCCCATCCACACCCAGCTTCCCCCCATGGGGCCCGTAAGACCCAGAACACGGCTCTATAACTGCCACCTACTGGACAAGGAGCTAATCGCACCTTCAAGAACGACTGGATCTCTCAAAACTCTACAACTGGCAAGGTATTCCTGATCCTTGCTTTTTGTTTCAGGGGGAAATGTAATACACCAGACTTATGGCATTTTATAATTGCTTAATGCTTACTGATAGCTTTTATTATTTATATCCAAAGGCCATTTGTTGTTGTTCAGTTGCACAGTCGAGTCCGACTCTTCGCGACCTCATGGACCAGATCATGCCAGGCCTTCCTGTCTTCCGCCGTCCTCTGAAGTTGGCTCAACTTCATGTTCGTTGCATCTATGACACTGTCTAACCATCTCATCCTTTGCCATCCCCGTCTTCTTTGACCTTCAATCTTTCCCAGCATCAGGGTCTTCTCCAGTGAGTTCTCCCTTCTCATTTGGTGGCCAAAGGCCATTGTTTATATCCAAAGGCCGCCACTGCTGCCACCACCAATGGCGCGGGTAACAACGGGGCCAAGGGGACGGCCCTCGGAAGATCTGCCATAATATTGTGTGGCGCTGGTACCACTGGACTGGCTATGTACCAACTACAGGATAATATCACCTCCAATGGAAGACCGATGTTATCTTGTAATTCATACGGAGACCATCTTGTTTCTACTGAGCACTTATTCTTGTTGATATTAATGGTTTTATCGTTTCATCTTGTTTTTATGTGTGGGCACTTGTGCTCTTTTGTAAGCCGCCCTGAGCCCGCTTGCGGGGAGGGTGGGGTATATATACAATAAATAAATAATAAATACATCAGTTAAACATTTTGTAATAAAGATGTTAAATTCAGATCCAACCCACAGTATGTTGTTTAATTTATGCAGGGTGCCCTGAAAAATTCACTCACCCTTTTCCATTCACTAAAGAGGGGTTATAGGTCAATGGTACAGCATGTTTGGCATGCAGAAGGTCCCAGTTTCAGTCCCCAGCATCTCCAGTTTAAAATAATCACTGATGGATGGACCCGTGGTCTCATCCAGTATAAGGCAGTGTCATGTGTCCCTGCATCCATTAGATAACTGGACACAAAGCACAGAGCCTCATTGACATTATAAAGAAGTCCAGTTCATGTATTAGTCCCAGCTGCTTAGTGGGCATCAACATCTGGCCAAAAACTTTCCTCCCAGTTTTCCTAGTTCTCTTGCCATTCTTCCCTAAGCCTCCTTCTAATACTATTTTTTATTGCTGAGGACACTAAAGGCAGTTCTGGATCTAGACCATAAGAAACGTGCTCCTTTAGCGACAGTTAGAACTGGATATGGAACAACTGATTGGTTTAGCATCAGAAAAGGAGTACGACAAGGATGTATATTGTCCCCTTGCTTATTTAATTTATATGCAGAGTATGTCATGCGAAATGCCGGCCTGGATGAATCATAAACCGGAATTAAGATTGTCGGGAAAAAGATCAACAGCCTCAGATATGCAGACAATACCACTCTGGTTTGAAACTCAACATAAAAAAAACAAAGATCACGGCGTCTGGCCCCATCACTCCTTGGCATATGGAAGGGGAAGTCGTGGAAGTAGTGACAGACTTCACGTTCCTGGGATCCCAGATCACCGCAGACGGTGACAGCAGCCATGAAATTAAAAGACGCCTGCTCCTTGGGAGGAAAGCGATGGTGAACCTAAACAGCATGATAAAAAGTAGAGACATCACCCTGCCAACAAAAGTCTGCATGGTCAAAGCAATGGTATTCCCAGTAGTCATGTATGGCTGCAAGAGTTGGACTATAATGAAGGCCGAGCGCCGAAGAATAGATTCTTTTGAACTATGGTGCTGGAGAAGACTCTTGAGAGTCCCTTGGACTGCTAGGAGATCCAATCAGTCCATCCTAAAAGAAATCAACCCTGACTGTTCCCTGGAAGGCCAGATAATGAAACTGAAGCTCAGATACTTTGGCCACCCAATGAGAAGACTACATTTCCCAGGAGCAAGTGCGAAAGAAAGAGCAGCCGCGATAGTGGCTCTTCCGGTTCCTATTCGACCGCTGGGGCTACCTAAGAGGGCGCCAGAGGAAAGCGGCGGCCGGTCTCTCGCTCCTGCCTTCTGGGAGGTGCTGCTGGCGGGGGCGAGGGCGAGGGCGGGCTTCCTTGCCTCCCTGAGGCGCGGCGGTGGAGAAGGGCCGCGGAACCCCCCGGCGGGGCTGCGGGGAGGGGTGGGGGGTCACCTGGGAGCGGACCGGAAGCTGCGGGGCAGGGGCGGGAGTTCCGTCCGGCGGCGGCGGAGGCGATGATGAGCTTCGAGTCGCCCTGGCAGTACAGCTTCCCGCCCTTCTTCACGTGAGTGGGCGAGGGGGTTCCCGCGCGCGCCCCCCCCGAAGGCTCCCTGGCGTGCACGCGGGGCGCGGGCCCGGGAGCGCTTGGCCACGGTGACCCGGCGCGTGGGGGACTCTGGCGTCGGAGGGGGGGACGCGGAAAGCCCGGGAGGGCGCTGAGGAGGGGCGGGAAGGAGAGGGACGAGGTGGCTCCGCCCAGAGGGAGCTGGTTTCCTGGGGAGGGCAGGGCGGCGGAGAGCCAGAGGTGAAGGAAGCCGGTGAACAAAGTAAGAACATAAGAGAGACGCCAATGTTGGATCAGGCCAATGGCCCCTCCAGTCCAACACTCTGTGTCACACAGTGGCCAGAAATGCCAGGTGCCATCAGGAGGTCCACCAGTGGGGCCAGGACACCAGAAGCCCTCCCACTGTTGACCTTTTTTTTTGTTGGCCCCCACAAGCACCAAGATGACAGAGCATCCCTTGCCCCAGAGCCCCTATCTATACCTTGTGGCTAAGAGCCACTGATGGACCTCTGCTCCATAGGCTTATCTAATTCCCTCTAATAAGAACATAAGAGACGCCAATGTTGGATCAGGCCAAAGGCCCCTCCAGTCCAACACTCTGTGTCACACAGTGGCCAGAAATACCAGGGGCCATCAGGGAGGTCCAGCAGTGCGGCCAGGACGTTAGAAGCCCTCCCACTGTTGACCCCCCCCCCAGGCACCAAGAAGACAGAGCATCCCTTGCCCCAGAGCCCCTATCTATACCTTGTGGCTAAGAGCCACTGATGGACCTCTGCTCCATATGCTTATCCAATTCCCTCTAATAAGAACATAAGAGACGCCAATGTTGGATCAGGCCAAAGGCCCCTCCAGTCCAACACTCTGTGTCACCCAGTGGCCAGAAATACCAGGGGCCATCAGGGAGGTCCAGCAGTGCGGCCAGGACGTTAGAAGCCCTCCCACTGTTGACCCCCCCCCCAGGCACCAAGAAGACAGAGCATCCCTTGCCCCAGAGCCCCTATCTATACCTTGTGGCTAAGAGCCACTGATGGAC